GTTTTAATTTTGATCATCAGACATAGTCGTCATCTTGAATTTGTAAGAGGTGGGAATTCAATTTCAAGTGCCAAAGGAGTCGGGATGAGATGATAATTATTTTATTCTAGTGCAACTAATGATTATCGGACTATTGAATTCTTTTTCTTTTCAATTTCGTCATTGACTTGTAAATTTAACAATTCAAGTTTTTGATTTTTGATTTGGAATTAGCATTTACTTAATTTATCTATACAAGGGAATAGATATATTTTAATACGTTTTTGTCATTGAGAAAATAAGTTAGTAATACAGCTATTATGTACAATTAGTATATTTCAGTTAAAATATTACTAAAATTTAAAAATTCATAGTAATAAGCGAATTGGTTCAGAGATTTTTTTTAAAAAAAAATATTCATTTTCTGAAAAAATAAAAATAAAAAGGCAGATGATAACCCTGACATGGTGACAAATTGATACTGTTAGGAAGGGAAAAAAAAAAGAAAGGTAATATAGTCAGATATAATATAGCAGAGGATATAAATTTAGTGACATTCTTCCCACAAGATTTATTTGGAGAAAAATATAATATGCAACTTTAAGTTATCAAATTATAGAAATGATAAACTAGTTGGAAAAGTTTTGACACCTGAGTACTCAATTGTGTTCGAATTTATTTAGTTTTAAATTGAGATTAAATTATAAATAAAAAATTAATTTAGTAATCACACCATATTTTTTTTTTTAGCTTTTCTCTCCTTATTTTAAAACTGAAACTGTATAAATATGTTTTATTAAAATTTCTTGTAAATTTAATTCAAGATGATAATTATTTTTAATGATATGACTGCCGCATGGTAATTGAAATATTCTTAATTTTATTCATTCTAACAATATAAACATTATAAAGAAATAACTGATTTGAGGGGGGAAAAAAAAAAAAGAAAAAGATGAGAAACTTAATTGCGACATTTAAACATTATGAAATAAATTAATTACATATTAAGATGAATGAATTGTTCATGTGTTGTCATTAACCATGAGACTTAAATGCATATTAAGGTATTTAATGACAGACATCTTGTTCTCTAGTAAGGGTTTGATAAATTACAAGTCATCTAATTCGTAGTATGATAAATTACAACTAATCCAGTTTAGAGTAATTAATTAATAAAAATATTTTAAGAAAGATAAGCTAACAAACTCAATAAATAAATATGATAAGTACATTTTGTATTCACTTAAATTTTTTTTTGACATAAATTAAAAAATAATAATAATTCCGTTATTTATAGAAAATATGATCGATTGCCTTACAAGAATTATAATTACTTACAAAGAATCCATCTCTTCCAGTCTTTCTTTTTCTTAGCGCTTCGACAAAACCAGAAGCCGCATTTGATAGACGAATGGCATTGCGTTCAATGGTTGAAGCAGAAAACTATAGGGATTGTTATCAACAATTACAAGTTTAGAGAGATCTCTTGATAAACAGGAGAGGTCCGTCCTTCACATGTTCTCGATATTCCCTGCAATTTTATTGGGTTTACTTCTGGACACCACGCAAAAATGAACTTAAAATTCTTACCAGCTAAAGCTAATAACTGGAGGAAGCAAATGTCACCTGACCCCAAAATAATTGTATTTATAGAATAATGAAAACACTCCTGTGCTTTTATTTCAAATTATATCACAACAAAAAAAATAACAGAGGAAATGAGAGAACAAGGGTAAAATCAAATAACCGAGTAGCCAGGCCAAATTAGCACTGATTAATACATAATCATTCTTAGATAGGAACATAAATCCTATGGTTGTTCTATAACCACAGACACTTTGCCCATCTTCAAAAGTAAAGTTCAGTAGCAAACTTTGATGGTTCAAATTGATATTTTAGCTGATAAAATTACATTTTGCAATGATTAGACGTAAATCTCCAATTCAGTAGAATGCCGAAACATAAAGCAATAACGAAAGCAATTCCATATCAACAGCCGACTCTTTCCCAAGAAACTTTTTTATTACACTGACAAAACTAGGCTAACAATTTTGCAAACGTCTTAGGATTGACTCCCAAGTTTCCACAAAAAAAAAAAAATCATTTTAATCTTTTCACTACAACTATGTACTAACAGTTGAAGGTCGACAAGTGGCCTTGCATAATCTGCATGATATGCAGAAATAAAAAGACTGAAAATGATGTTATTAAACACAGATTGTGAACATGATGTAATATCAAACCTTCAAGGCCAGCGATGAACAAAACAAGATCTACAAATTCCCCAATCTGTTTGAGAAACTCCTGCAAACCAGGTCGTTCAAACACTATAACATAACTGATCTTTGGTTTGCCTTCACATCTCTTCAAACCAGAAACATCAGTGTCAATCAGAAGTTGGTGAGTGATAAATATCGAATAGTAGATATCAGAGAGGGAGAGAGACCTTGTCTGAAGACATATTCCAATTCAAACCACTTCAACCCAGCTTTTGTCGCCTGAGCATGAAGAACCACAGACAAACTAGAGGTTTCATACGCACATATTAAAGTCTCATCGAAGTCAAGAATAACCTGCACGCCAACTCCTAATATTGAACCCATCACCTTATTATTCTGCCATGAACGAGTACTTCAACCACAAAGTCTATAATATTGTGGCCTATAGAAATTTCAGATAAAGTATGAATCCATTATCAGCTAATTTCCACAATGGAGACACCTGAATCAACCAAAACCTCCAACCAGAAATTTTAGAAAGAGGTAAAAATTAGAAGTGATCCAATTTCAGACATCACTACTCAAGACAGTAGAACAAAGCAACAAACTAATTCAATTACATTCAGCTACAGAGGATAACTGTGACACACTTGAACCTTTTATTTATCGGATGTAGTATTTATTGTATTTTAAATTTTTAATTTAATATTTAAAATATTAAAGGCGCTTTTAACATTGGATGTTGTATTTTAAATTTGGCATTCTAAAATTTAAATTCAGCATAATTTAAAATTATTATTTTAAAACAAAAACAAAAAAAGATGAAAAACGGACCTGTGGGCAGGCCTCGCGGGAAATACCCGCGGGCATGCGCGCGGACATGTGACTCGAGAGCCCACGAGCTCGTGCGCATGTACGCGCACGTCCCATCGCTGTGTGCCTGCAGCGCCTGCAGAACAGTGCTTGTGCCTGCAGCACACGTCCCATCGCCGTGCTCCTACAGCGCATGCGGAATAGTGCGTGCGCCTGAAGCGCATGTCCCATCACCGCGTGCTTGCAGCACAGGCGGGACAGTCGCGTGTCTGCAGCGCACGTCCCATAGCGGACGGGCCACGTCCACTGCTGTCTGCTGCCGTCCGCCTGCTGCACACCCTGCCTACACTGCCTGGTCGCAACATGGTGTGCATGCACGCCATTAGGCGATGGCCGAACGGCCACTTGGCCAATCAACGGCCATCGGCTGTTGCAAGTGATCCAACAGTCACAATCACCCCACTTGGCTATTTAAAGGCTATTCTTCCTCTCCTCTCCTCCATTTCTTCATTATCCATCTTCTTAGAGAGAGAGAGAGAGAGAGAGAGAGAGAAATAGACCAAGGAGACCCGAGAAGCTTTTCTCCTCCGCATGATAAGCTTTCTCTTTTCCTCTTGATTTCCTTTCTTCACTAAGGCTTCCAAGAGCGCACCCTTAAGCTTTTTATGTTCTTAAATTACTAGAAATCCTTCCAAAAATTCACGGATTGCCGAGCAACCTTCCTTCTCCTTCGAAGCGCAAGGAACTTTATTTTGGGAGCCCGAAAGCTTGAAAGATTAGGTAAAGGTCTTAGTATTTTCACGTACTCTTCTATTATGTTTTATAGACTTTGAAAACATTTAAAGGTAATGAAATTTGTGATTGTTTGATTTGGTTTCATGCATGCACCGAGTATTATTTTAAAGATCGTATTTTTTTGAGTGTTTGATGGAATTTGAGTGTTTTGTCTTCATACCATGTGTGGACATGATTTTGTATGTTTAGTCGAGTTATAGAAATGGAAGAGAAGTGTTTTGAATGAAAAAATGAGTTCGTAAATGGTTTTGGGCACGAAGGTGTCAAACAGGTTACAGGTTGTGGCTATGCCATGAGCTCGCGTAGTACGTCATGTGCGGGCTAGGCACTTTGCCTCGCCTTTGGGCGATGATCGAGAGAGTTACCCAATTGGGCCTTGACCCGAAAAGGTAACTTGATAGCCCAATCTAGATATGTGGGACTTTGTCTGGTCGGGTTGAGGTATGAACCCCCACTGGGTTCAGGTTAGTTTTAGTGGACCCTCAGTCCGGTCCGAACTGAACGGACCCCATCGAGTCTCAGTCCAGCTGATAGACCCAAACAGACCGAGTTTGGCTAGTGAGTCCCACTGGGTCTGGTTTAAGTGTATTGGGGCCCTATCGGGCCGATTCAGTTAATGAACGCTTCCGGATTGGGTTTTAGTTAATGGGCCCTTATCGGATGTGGATTTGATTGCTTTTAAGATCAAGGAGTTTGTATCCTTTATAGCCTAAGGGGTAGCCAAGAAAGACACAAGCACGAGAGCGGGGTGAAAATTTATGTCTGTGACTCTCGAGTGTGGAACTGTAGCATAAACAACCGAAAGTGCGTAAGTGGTCATAAGAAGGTTTCTTATTATTTAGTAACTCAAAATGTATTTTATTGGAGAGTACAGGTGATGGAGTGCGATTGATGATGTATACGGCAGTGATGACACAATCCCCCCAATAAATTAG